TTTTTCTCTTTGACAATGTCATTTTACTTAATCCACCCTAGAAATGTTGACTTTCTTAGAATTTTTTTCTTTATTAGTTTTACCTCCATTAAACTATACCTTTTCTAGGTGACCTACTCACTTCCATCTGAAATGAATTCTACTCTGTCTTCTATATCTTTTCATCACTTATTCTATATTCAGAGTCCTGGACAGGAGCTCCCACCAAATGACCAAGCCTACACCGTGTTGCCTTTGCCTTAGCCAAAGAGTGGAAATAAAGGAAGCTTTGGGTACCTTTGTCTTTCCTTGTGGGAGGTGACACCCTGTCTTCCTTTAAGATTCATAGAGAGGAAGAGATTTCAGTTGCTGGACAACCAAAACAAACAAACAAATGCTCAGTACATCTATCACCATCAATTAATTTACTCATTCAGTAAATGTTTAACAGTAATTTCTGTATACAAGCCTCTATGCTATTTGTAAGGAGCTCTGGTGGCATAGTGCCTAAGGCATTTTGACTGCTAAGCAGAAGGCTGGTGGTTCAAACCCACCAGCCACTCCGGCAGAAGGAAGACTGGACAATCTACTTTCATATAGATTTACAACCTCGGAAACTCAAAGGGGGTCTCTATGAGTTGGAATTGACTCGATGGCAGTGAGCTTGTTTGTTTTTTGTTTGTTTGTTTGTTTGTTTGTTTAATGCTATTTACCTTAGATGATACAAAGATGATTAAGACATGGTCTTTCTCAAGAGGTCATTGTTTACTTGGGAAGATAAAACATACACCAATACGAACAATACAAGGCAGAATGTTCTAAGAACTGAAAATTAAATATGCTGTGTTGTGATTTACTATTGTATCTATCATTTAGATATTGCTGTATAGTTTTTGGAATTATATAACTTGCATGGTAGCATTTAATACTCATTGTGGCCTTATAAGATAGGCTCTGAGTGGTCAGATGACTTCTTTTCATCAGTGCTAACATCGCAGTACTTCAGGCTTTCACCAACTTTCTAACCTGGACTACTAGAATCACGTCCCAACTTACCCTCTTCTAGCAAGTGTGTGCCTTAGAAGTGAGGATGGCAAGCCTTTGTCTCACATACTTTGAATACGTTATCAGTCACTGGAGAAGTACATCAAGGTTGGTAAAGTAGAGGGTGAGAGGAAAAAGAGGAAGCCCCTCAATGTGAGGAATTGACACAGTGGCTGCAACAAGGGGCTCAAACATGGCAATGATTTTGAGGACGGCCCAAGACCTGGCAGTGTTTTGTTCTGTTGTCTGTAGGGTTGCGGTGAGTTGGAACTAACTCAATGGTACCTAAAAATACAACAATCCCTTCACAAATTTGCCATCAAAATGCTCCTTATAAAACACACTGGTCTTCTGCCCAGAATTCTTTAGTTCTTCCACTGTCTGTAGGATAAAACCCAAACACCTTAGTATGGAGTTCAAGGCACTCCGCAATCCAGTACCAACTATTTTTTTCCTAGTTTGGTTTTCAACCCTTCCTCTCTCTGAACCTGTTTCTAGCTTCTTCAAATCCCTCTTACTTTCCCAAGCATACCATAACCTTTCTGGTCATATACCCTTTCATATTATATTCTTTCCTTTCCTGGTACTTGTATGGATCTTTTAAAACCTAGCTCAAATATCATCTCCTCTGTGAACCCATCCATGATTCTCCCATACCTAGTTCTTTTCCCCTCCTCTGTGCTCCCAATCATGTATTAAAGTCCTTATTATAACATCATCACCTGCTAATAATTTGTGTCTTCTTTCTGGAATGTGAGTTCTCCAAAAAGCAGAAGTGGTATCACTTAGCCCAAGACTAATACAAAGTAGCTACTCAATGCTAATGGAATGAATGAATGAGTGTTTCCAGGGAACCCTTCTTCCCACACTAAATTCAGAAGTAGGTATTCAACAGATTGGTTTGACAGAATGAATATACGAGTGAATGAATGTGACCTGAGCTGTACTTTTGATTCTGCTTACATGTAGCCATGTGACCCATGCAAGTCACTTCACCTCATTGATTCTGTTTTCTCATCTATAAAATGGAAATAGAAATGTATGCCCTTCTTACTTCACATTCCTGCTGTAAGGATAATATAAGATAATGGATATGAAAGCAATTCATAAACTACAAGACACTGTATATCTGCAAGGGATTATTGCTGTTATCAAAAAGCAATAGTTAAAAAAAAGTAGTAGCTCTAGAGTAGATTCTAATAAGATGTACATTGTAAGTCTCATCACAATCACTAAGAAATTTTAAAATACAATTACAAATAACTAAAGGAATTAAAATAGGCTAGAAAACTATGTTCTGGTGGCATAGTGCCTAAGGCACTTGATTGCTAACCAGAAGGCTGGTGGGTCAAAGCTACCAGCCACTCCTCAGAAGGAACGTTGGGCAATCTACTTCCATAGTGATACTGCATCAGCAACCCAAGGAGGGGTCGCTATGAGCCAGATCCAACTTGATGGCAGTGAGTTTGGTTTTTGGTTTGTTTAGAAAATGCTCACTTAGTTCAAAATAAGACAGTAAAGAGGAACAAAGAAATCATGAGACATATAGATAACCAAAAGCAAAATACCTGGTATAAATCCCACCATTTGATAACATTAAATGTCAGTGGATTTAACAATCAAGTCAAAGGACAGAGATTGTCACACTGGATAGAAAAAAAAAAAATACAACTTTATGCTGTCTAAAGGAGACATAGTTAAGATTTAAAGATACAAATAGCTTGAAAGTAAAAGGATGGAAAAAACATACCATGCAAAGAACAACCATAAAACAGATGCAATGGCTATATAAATGTCGGACAAAATGTATTTTAACACAAGAAAAGTTATGAAAGATAATGAAGGACATTTTATAATGATAAAAGAGTCATCCATCAGGAAGATGTAACAATTACAAACTAATACAAAAACAACAACATATATTAAAATGGAACCCAAGAAATACATGAAGCAAAAACTGACAGAATGATGTGAAAAATACACAATTTAACAATAATAGTTGGAGACTTAATTCCCAGTTTCAATAATGGCATAATGTCAGTAACATCATAGAAGACTTGAACAGCACTATAAACCAACTAGACCTAACATACATCTATGGAACACACCATCCAACAACAGCAGAACGGTGTTCTTCACACACGTATATGGACTATTTTCAAGGACAGACCATGAAACAAGTCTCAATCAATAATTTAAAAGGATTGAAGCTATTTGGAGTATGTTCTCTGATCACAATGAAATTAAATTAGAAATAAACAGCAGAAGGAACTTCAGGAAATTCACAAATATATGTGTAAAGAACATACTCCTATTCATACATATAATAAAACACATAGGAAACATAGTCATGGATACCTCCCAGACATAACCAAACACCTCATAGGACTGGTTTACTGTGTGTAAAGGTTTAGGACCATAGTCTCTTGGGACATCTTGGTCAATTGGGACAACACAGTTGCTAAAGGTGCAAGGAGACCATATCTTCTGACCTCCTCTAACCCAACAAGAGGAAGACAGAATCACCATCAGTAGCCCAAGGCCTATTCCTGTGAGGCCAGACATGTTGCCTCCCTCCAGCCCTTTCACCAACCCTGACACCAACCATTCCTCCCGCAGCACTCACCACCTTTCTGCTGGGTTTGATAATTCACTTCAGTGGCCACACAGAACTCACAGATTATGGGGTTTATTAGGGAAGCACCAGGCTACAGTTCAAGTTCAGGAAAAATGCTCAGTCTCTCTCAGCCCACCATCTCTCAGCCAACAGTTTCTCTCAGCCACTCTCCCAGTAATGCATGTATCTCAGTGTCTCTCTCAGCAGTGTGTTTCTTAGTGTCTCTCTCAGCAATGCATGTTTCTTGCACCTCTTTCTCAGCGGCGTGTGTCTCTCAGGAGCACATGTCTCTCAGGAACGCGTGTCTCTCAGAAGCACGTCCTTCTCAGCCAGCAGTCAGAGTTCTGCCTCTAGGAGGCCTCCTTTTGTGCCTGGCAGAGTGGCCAAACTAACCAATCATAACATCAGAATTCTAAGCACCTGAGAGAGAGCAAATTTCCCAGAACATTGCTTTGTGCCATTCCCAACAGAAATGCCCCAGGTGGATAACTTACAATCAGGAGCTCCTCAGTTGCTCACAGCAAATTCCACCATGGAGTTTACAAAGACTTATGGCTAGAAAAGCCATACTAGGTAATTTACTACACTGCAATGGCCTACAAAATTTATTTTCTACTCCTAGTTTGGTAA